ACAAGTCACTGTGCTGGTGATACTTTGAAGGGGTGCCAAAGCTCCCTGTCCAAAGACCACCACTGTCTGGCAGAAGCCCCCAGGGCATTAATCAGCATTTTAGATTCTAGGAAGACAACTAGACTAACTAAGTTCTAAAAAGACAAATATCTTTGACCTGTGGATGCACTGGGGAAGGAGTGGATTCTGACTGAAGGCCTATGTCCTAGGGAGTTCCTCTGCTGAGGTTAGTAGACACTTGGAGAGTAAGCACTGAGATACTCCACGGGCCTCGTGAGAAGGGTTTAATGTCTTAGGATCAAAAGGCTGGGAATGCTAGGTGAGGTGGTTAGGGGTTCCAGGCCCTGCTGAGAACTGGAAGGTAAAACAAGATTTAGTACAAACCATTGTTGGGGAGGGGTAAAAACAGTTTCCTCTACCCTCTTAGGTTCTGTATCTGAGGGGCTGTGAATTAAATTTAGAAAAATAGATTAACAAGAGGAAAGAATTGATTTACATAGGATTGCTCAATGATGAGTAACTCAAAGTAGGGTTTAGAATTAGGGCTTATAGCCCGGTTGGTGTGGCTCAGTGGTTGAGCGTCGACCCATGCACCAACAGGTTGCCAGTTCGAACATGCCCAGGTTGTGGGCCTGATCCCCAGGCAGGAGGTAGCCAATCGATATTCTCTCTCATTGATGTTTCTCTCTCTCTCTCTCCCTCTCCCTTCCTCTCTTTCTAAAATCAATAAAGAAAAAAAAAAGTTAGGGATTATATATTTAACTTAGAAGAGGAAAGAGAAGGGGAATAAAAAGCTCCTATGGTAGGAACAAATATGTTTCTTGGTACTCCTTTATTTTTTATTTTATTTTTTTTATCCTCACCTGAGGACATTTTTGCATTTCAGATAGAGCGGGAGGGAGAGAGAAAGAGAGAGAGAGAAGTTGATGTGAGAGAGACACATCGAATATGTTTCTTTAGAACAAAAGGGGACATGCGAATGTTTGCGATAATGTTTGTACCTTAGGTACGAGTGGTCGTTCTGTCTCCTTCAGGGCCAAACAAACTCTTCCAGAGATGAGGATTTTTAGTAGGTTTACTTAGTCTCCTTCCTGGGGGCAAACCCACCCCAAAGAGGAAATTGACGGCAGTCCTTGGTTCTCAGAAGTTCCTGTTTGTAGTCAGATAGGGAAGCTCCCAGAAGGTTTTTTCTGTGTCTGTTGAATCTCAAAAGTCTTCAGCTTAAAATACTCTTTGTACCAACTCTGGGGTTCTGAGTGGGACCTCACACCACACAATTTTGCAGTTGCTCAATGAATATTTTTAAATGAATGAATGAACACAGTAGGGAAGATAATACTGGATGGCATAGCCTGTGGCATAGGGGTTGGGGTAGGAGATCAAGGCCAAATTCGCCCTCCCTGTTGAGGAGGTTGCCCCATGTGGCCAAGCTGAGCTCCCTCTGGGCTCAGTGGCACATTTGGAATCTGGCAAAGTCTGGACCCACCAACCTGTTCACTGGCAACTTTGCAGAAGTTCACCTGACATCTGCTAGGACTCTGGAGTCGAGTTCTAAGAGGCTTCAAGGTCAGAGCTACAGACAGAGAAGTAGGGTTTGGAGCAAGAAGTTAGAAATGTTAAGTCTGCAACTCAGTTCATTGAGAGAGTGACTTTTTCTTGAAAGAAATGGGAAAATGAATGTCTGACAAGTTCTCCTGGGGCTGCTCACTTGAAAAGGGAGGCAGTAAGAGAAAGATTTGACATCTAGTTCCCAAACTGGTTGGGGATCTTAGCCTGGAAAAGACTCCCAGACCCTTGAGGAGAGTTCCTTCGGTCACAGGAAAGGGACCAGGCCCAGAGCAGGTCTGCCTTGGGCCAGCCTGTAGTGTATGGGTTCTTGACTTCATGCAGGAAAGATTTCAAGTACAAGTCCAGGTCATTTTTTTTTTTATCCTCACCCGAGGATATTTTTCCATTTTTTGTACAGATAGAGTGGGAGGGGGAGAGGAAGGGAGAGAGAGAGAGAGAAACATCAACGTGAAGGGACACATCGAGTGGCTGCCACCCGCACAACCAACTAGGGCCGGGGACAAACTGCAACCGAAGTACGTGCCCTTAGCGGGAACCGAACCCGGGTCTCTCCGGACCGCAGGCCGACGCTCTAACCGCTGAGCCAAACTGGCCAGGGCAAGTCTAGGTCATTTTGACAGTACATTTATTAAAGCTGAGGACAGTGAATCTAAGGAAGGGCTTAGGATACTGCCCCGGCCCGATCTGGAATGTGTGAACCATTTGCTCCTGTGTCCTTGGTTAGGGAAGATAAGATGTTGCATTACTGTATTATTATCTGGCTGTAAATTGCTCAACCAGTCAGTTCAGCTACTCTGTCTTTGTTTCCCCTGGCCAGCGAATCTTCCTAGCTTCTTACTCTCCTCCCTCACTGTCAGCTGGGGGATGAGAAGAGGGGAGGAATTGAAGAGGCTGGTGGTGGTGGTGATGGTGGGGTTAGCCACTGACAAACTCTCCTGGCCTGCATTTTACTTGACACCTCTCAACCCTGCCCAGCCTGGGGCTCTTGCTCCAGGATTTCCTGTATTCAATTTCCAAGAAAGGACTTGATGTTCTTCCGGAAATGGCCTTGCTCTGTACTCAGGCATGAGATGGGTTGTCCAGATGTCCAGCTGTCCCAGTTAGAAAGGCTTTGAGCAGAGCCCTATAAAAATAGATCTTTCAGCCCAGCCGGTGTGGCTCAGCGGTTGAATGTTGACCCATGCACCAAGAGGTCGCTGGTTCGATTCCCGGTGAGGGCACATACCCAGGTTTTGGCCCAAATCCCCATTGGGGGTATGCAGGAGGTGGCTAATCGATATTCTCTCTCATTGATGTTTCTCTCCCTCTCTAAAATCAGTAAAGAAAAAAAAAAGAGAGATCTTTCTAAGGCGTTTCTTTCTGCTCTGCAGACCAAAAACCCACTCAGGTGTTGGCGTGTTTTTTTTCCACAGCAGATACAGGCTTCTGGGACCGTTCTGGGCTGGTGAAGCAACTCCCCTTGATGCCATTAGCCTCTTGGGAAGGAAGAAAGAGGACAAACTGAACGAAGGAAATAAAGGTGCCTGCCCAGCAGCTTGGCAGAGGTTATCAGGTAAGATGTGAAGCTGTGGCTCAGTGGTTGAGCGTCGACCCATGCACCAAGAGGTCGCCAGTTCGATTCCCGGTCAGGGCACATTCCCAGGTTGTGTGCCCGATCCCCAGGGTAGGGCGTATAGGAGATGGCCAGTCAATGTTCTCTCTCATCGATGTTTCTATCTCTCTCTCCCTCTCCCTTCCTCTCTCTCTAAAAATCAATAAAGAAAAAACAAACAAACAAAAAGTAAATACATCTTCCTGTGGAGCACCCAGTGAGCATAGATGTCAGGGTGCCACTCAGCGGTGAATAGGAGGCCGTTGGCTGGTTCTGCGTGTCCGGTGTGAGGCGTCAGAGGAGAAATGAGGATGGGGGAGTCGCCAGAAAAATCAGGGAGGACAGTGGTTAATTGAAGCCCCAACCGAAGTAAGAAAAAAATCACATAAAGGAACCTCAGAATTTGACCTACCCTGTTGGTTTCAGTGAGAAAACACTTTTGCATTTTTAAACTGAAAGCATATTTATTCCCTAGAACTGGCCCCTGGCCCTTGGCCTTTGGCTTGTGAACAAAAGCGGGTTGTTTGGTGCCTGGGCAGGGATGTTTGCTCACAGATCATGTGTGTTCAGAGCAGTTGCTTTGAAGGGTGTCCGTTTGAAGGGTGTGAGTGTGGGGCTGCTGTGCTGTTCTGGTCAAGTTCATGTGGTGCCTGCTTCACAAATGCTGGAAAGCAGAGGAGGAGGGGCTGGCCCCAGGCAGTTTATGTTGATGGAGTTGGAAAGTGTTGACCAATAATTGCCAGCCAGCATCTTAGAGACAGTATTGACCTCAGGGATCATCTGTCCTCTCTGGTCCTTTCATACAAGGTCCTTTGCTTAAATCCCTCTAGTCACAGGGAGCCCACCCCCCAATGGCTCATCCCCCATTGCATACATAGCTGCATTCATAGGAGAGAATCCTTCCTTTTCTTCTATACAGTTGTTTTACTATCACCTCCACACTCTGGTTCTGGGTCTACGTATTTTAAGGGTGTTTCCTTTGTGTTAGGCACTGTGCCCAGTCCTGTGCCCAGTCCTTGGGGGGGGGGGGGGTAGGGAATGAAATAGATAAGTAAGAGGCAATTTATTTCAAGAAGTTACCACCATCCACTTAGTTGTTCGGGCCAGAACCTGGATATCACCCTTGCTTGCTTCCTCTCCTGCCTAACCCCTCACACCCCATCTGCCTGCAAAATCTTGTTGATTCAACTTCTAAACATGTCTGGTATTTATCCCTTGCTTTTGAGCTCCGTTTCAAAGGACGCTGCTACGCTGTGCTATGTTATCTTGGTACGCATGTCATTTTACACGTGTGAGCTTCTGTAGAATGAATTCCCATCCGTGAAATTGCTAGGTCTCATGGGTTCAGCACTTGTCACTTCGACAGGTTTTACGGAGGAGCTCCCTGGGGAAGCGGATCCAATTCACACTCCCTCCAACTGTGCGTGCCTGGGCCTGCTTCCCACAGCCTCGCACTAGGGCAGTGTGCTCATAATTTGCCCCTTGCCAATCTGATAAGTGAAACTGGTACTCATTGGACTTGTAATTTTCATTATTGCTACGAATAAGGTTTGGCTACCTCCGTCTAAAACAAAGTTAAGAAAGAGAACGAAAAACCAAACAAGGCCATCTGAGCTCTTCCCGGGCCAGTGTGTTTAGAACTGGCGCTGGGGCCCCGGCCCCAATCAGGAGGCGGCAGGATGCTGGGCGGGGCGGGGCTGGAGTTGGGAGGCTCGGACCCCCGAGTGCCCGGTTCCCTCCAGGCTGAGTCCCGCCCCGAGTCCGCCTCCAGCGGGCCTGGGCGGAGCACGCCGGCCAGGGGGAGGCGCAGCGCTGCCTGATTTATTCCAGTCCAGGAGCAGAAGCGAGAGTCCCGCGGTCTGCACGGCTGGGTCCCCTGTCCCGCGCTGCGTGCCCCCAGCATGTCCCCCAGCATGCCGGGCCCCCGCCTGCTGGCCGCGCTCTGCTGCGCGCTGCTCTGCGCCCCCGGCCTCTTCGCCGCCTCCGGTGAGTGATCACGCCGCCCTTGCCCCTCCTCTCCCGCTGGAGCCCGGCGCCTCCCCTCCACCTTCACCGTGGACGAACTTGGGCAGAGAGCCGAGCCGGACAGGGCCGAGGGGCGACCTCCCCGGCTGTGTCCCGCCCGTGGCCCGGGATGCGCCCAGCCTCTCCCGCCATCTCCGAGCCCTGGAGTTTGGGCCGGTCAGACGCTAGAGGTCGGGCGGTGGCTCCGGACACTGGGTGACACCCCGGCCATTCCCAAGGCTTAACCATAACAAAGGAATCCGCTGTGCACCTCTCTTTTCCCATCTGTAAAATGAGGCCGTTGCACTGTGACCGACGCGCGCATGCCTTCCTACTGCAAGTTTCTAAAACTCTGGTATTGATGAGTCTCCAATCAGCTCTCCTGGGCAGCTCCCTCCCAAGCCCTAGCCGCCTCCGATCATTGGAGATTTCCGCCCGCGCCCCGCAGTGTCCTGCCGATAAGGGAAGGGAGGGCTGGGGAGTGGGGCCCAGGAGAGGTTCCACACGGGGAAGGCCTCGGGCAGGGCTGCCTCCTGCTGCTGCCGGCTTGTCTGCCGCCTCCTGACTCTCCGCGGCCTTGGTCTGCTGTCGTATCTTCCTTGGTGCTCCTCCCCCGCCCAGGAGGCCTCCCAACACCCGCTGGGCCTCCAGCAGGCCCGTCCTGGGGATGCCCCATCCCCTTCACCGGGAGGCCGCACAGTCCCCCTCCAGGACTGGGAAAAAGGGGTGGGTGGTGGTCAGGACTCATCAAGCACCCCTCTTCCCCATCATTTCCCATAGAACCAGGATTGAGTGAAGCAAGGAGGGGGCTGGATCCCAGCCGAGGCCTGGCTCTGCCATCCGTGACAGTCTGACCCCCGGGGGGCCTGCTAAGGGCACTGGAAGCTCCCACATACTTGGGAGCTGGCGGCTCTCTCCTCAGCAACCCTGAGAGACTGCTGGTCTTGTCCCTTTCCATTCCTCTGAGTCCCCACTGCCTGAGCCCTGGCAAAATGGCCCTGGGGAGATCTACCAAAAGGGCAGGACCCCGAAATCCCAAAGGTGGTTTAGTAGAGGGGTGATCTGGCTTTTGCTGAAAAGAGGAAGCACCCAGGCTGCTGTGTGCAGGTGAGTCAGTCTAAGGCCCTCCAGGTAGGGGACACCTTGTCACTTTCCCTTTTTCCCACTGTGCTCCGGAGGATACTTGAGGGAGGGAAGAAGAGTAGTTGGACCTTGTTGGGACAGGAGCCCAGGACTCTGGCCATTCCCAAGCCTCTGTCTGCGGCCAGCCTGTGCTGCCTGCCAGGTCAGGGGAGGGGATTAACCTGCTATTTAAAGCCAGTGACTAATAGCTCCTCGGGAGGGAGCCGCCTAAGCTCCTGAGTCCCGTACTGAGGTGGAGTTCTGAGGGCTCATTGCTCATTAACGGTATTCCCTTCCCTGGAGCCCAGGCCCATCTCTCGGGGACTTTGGGGTTTCAGGAGGGCCCTCCATCCTGGCATGGTGAGACTCATGGGGAGGAAAAAGAATTTCTCATGTTGTACCCCAAATGGGTGTGGGGTCTCAGGCAGCTGTCTGGGATGTTAGAAGACCCTACTATAAGCCTGGCTCACCCAAATCACAAGAGCCAAGGGGCTCTGTGCCATAGTGCACATTGGTCACCCAGGTAGGCCCCCAACCAGAAGCTGTGATGTCCTCTCAGCTCTGAAGTCCTCATCCAGTGCTTCCTAAATCCGCCTGTGCTCCTCACCCCTGCGTCCTCCTCACTCCTCCTGACTTCTCTTACTGGGAGGCCTGGGCGCACCCTCCCTGATGCTCTCCTGGTCTCCTACCTCCCCGATCCCTGTCCACCCAGCTACCAGAGGGACCTTTGTGTCACCACAAAATGCCTCCCCACCCCAGGCGAGTCCAGCCCATGTCCGCAGATGCCAATGTCCTTCTCAGACCTGGAACCGAGTTCCCCATTCCCATCTCATGAGTGAGAATCTCTGATTTGTTCTGTCCCGGTGGACCATGCTGGGGAGGCTGAAGGAAGGTTAAGAGCTCCTGGTCTGCAGGTTGAAATGTCTGAACTTTTCAATGACAGTCATTCTTATTGTCCCTCCCAGCTGGCCCCAGCCTACCTGTTCGGCTCTGTCTGATTGCTCTGCCAACACGCTGAGCTCTGTGCTTCTGATTTTCCTCTAGAACGTTTCCCCTCATTCCCCAGCTTGGCACACAGCTCATGACCCCTCCTGCAAAACTGCAGTCTCCTTGGTAGAAACCACACCCCCGGTGGCCCTTGTGCAGGCTTCTGTCAGCTCATGGTGCCTGTCACCCCGGTTGACTTGTCTGTCTCTTCCCCGGGGCTTCTTGAGGCCCCCACTGTGCCTGATTGCCGTCTGTGGGCCCAGTATATACGGACGTGGTAGTTGCCCCCCCCGCACCCCCTATTGACTGCATGAATGAATTGTTCCTGAGTCAGAGCTGCCACTGCAGGTGACTTCTGTGACTCCAGCGAGTGCCTGAATGGTGGGACCTGCTTGTCAGGCCAAGACGACATCCCCTTCTACTGCCTCTGCCCTGAAGGCTTTACGGGCCTCATTTGCAATGAGACCGAGAAAGGTACCTGCGTGGGCTGCACTTGCCTCCCTGCACCGAGCTCCCAGGCCGCTGGGTTGAGTGGGTCTGTCCTGAAGTGGACAGTGTCCCCAGCACCTGTCCATTGTCAGGCAGCATTTCCCTGGACACTCCTGAGCCACTTGAAAAGCTGGGTACTTCCTTTATTTGGGCTGAGCCACCGAGGCACGACCCTCCTTGGTGCCAGGCTGGCCCAGGTTCCATCAGGCTGAGTGGGGGAAGGAGGAAGGGAGGGGGAGGGGGTGGCGGAGGGAGACAGGCAGTGGGCTGAGTTTGGGCGGAGGGTCCTTTTGGGCTAGGTCCAACTGCTGCTGTCTCTCTCTGTTCCCAGCTCCTTCCTGATCACCTGCCCATCTTACCTGCCTCCTCCTACCCAGGTCCCTGTTTCCCAAACCCCTGCCACAATGATGCCAGGTGCCAGGAGATTGATGATGACTCACACCGAGGCGATGTCTTCACACAATACATCTGCGAGTGCTCTCCGGGCTACTCGGGCATCCACTGTGAGACCAGTGAGTATCTGGGGGTGCCTGCTCTGGCGGGGTTCAGGGGCAGACCCTGAGCTACAGTCCTGGCAGCCCAAGCCACGTGCGACCTTATTATTCCCTGTGTCAGGGCCTCCTCTGGGTAGACCGAGGGTGGGACAGAGCCTCCCTTGGCTTCTTTCCACCTGGCCCCCTCTCCGGGGACTGCAGGCCAGGCCTGATGTCCCTGCAGGGGAGTAAGGGGTGATGGGGGACCCTGAATCATGGGAGTGCTGTTTCCTGGGTCCCCGTGAACCAGCCAAATGTCATTAAGGTTCAGTCTTGGGGTTTTCTACCAAGAGGGGAAAAAAACACATTTTTAATCTTTTGGGGCCTGGGAGGTCAGTAAATAAGGCTTAGGCCTCAGGGTCTGACAGCTCCTGGCCCGTGTTTGACCTCTGGCCTCATTATAGAGGTCGGTGCGGAGGGAGAGGCCTGGGCTGTCCCCTCAGTCAGGAAGTCAGACTGGCACGTGCAAAGGGGTTATCCACCTGACCACAGCATGGCCCTGGATGGGTGCCCAGCAACACTGCCCACAGTGGCTCTCAGGTCCGCCTCCTTGGTCCAGCTGGAGTCCCTCCCACCAAACCAGGAGTCCAAAGTCCACACATAGGCCAGGGAGGGATGCGGGGGTGGGGCAAACTTCTGTCGTCCTTGGGGTCTGTTACTGAGCATGTCAGGCAGGAGCCAGGCCATTGTCCTCAGGCAGAGGTGGGATCACTGTGAGGTTTGCTGACCTACAGGAGGAGGAGGGAGGGCTGGGCCAGCTGGGTGGGGGTGGGGGCCCGGGGAGAGAACAGGTAAAGTGATGCCCTTCACCTCACAGGCATGTGCCTTGCGACCTGAGCGAGGCCAATGTGTTTGACATCCTGAGTGCAGGAATGTGGGGGGAGCGTGTGGATGGGGGCTCAGCAAGGCAGACAGCGCTGGGTGGGGCCAGGTGAGCCCACTAATTACTGTGCTGGGAGCGGAGGTAACCATGGGTGTGCCTGAGTTGGAATTACCCACCTAGCCTTCTGTGCTTCTGGCCTGGGGTCTGTTCCAGGCTGGTGGCACCTGGGACAGAGGTAGGAAGTGACCACAGAGGCAGAGCAGCCCTCCAGAGGGACCTTTGCAGTCCCTCCTTGTTATATGCTATGTTTCCTGGGGGTCTACATGCATGTTTTTTCCTTTATTGATCTTAGAGAGAGAGGAAGTGAGAGAGAGAGAGAGAGAGAGAGAGAGAGAGAGAGAGAGAGAGAGAGAGAAACATTGATGAGAGAGAACATCGATTGGCCGCCTCCTGCATGCCCCGCACTGGGGATCGGGCCCACAACCTGGGCATGTGTCCTGACAGGGAATTGAACCAGCGACCTCCCGGTGCGTGGGTCGACGCTCAACCACTGAGCCACACCAGCCAGACCCTACATACATGTTTGAATCCCTAAGGGCGAGGACACATGAGGTGTGAGGATAGTCCACACCTGGGTTCAGATCTCTGCCCAGCCACTGGCTGGCTCTGATCTCGAGTGTGTGGCTTCACTTTGCACCTCATTCTCTCCGCGTGAGCCTGGGGTGCTGCACCAGGGTGATCTGACCCTGGGTTCTTTGGGAACCAGAAGAATGGTTCGCTACCCCCTTGACCACATCGCTGGGGTAACGGTGAAGGTGATGGGGCCTTGGTTAGGGGCAGCCTGGCAGGTGGCTGGGTCAGACCAGCAGTTGGAAAGGGCAGAGGGTCCAAGAGAAAACAGAATGCCTTCACGCCCCAGCCAGAAAACTCTTGCATATGGGATTCTAGAAAACTCCACACAGACTTGATTATTGATTCGCTTATTGCGTTATGGGTAGTCCACTACCATCTGAGGTACCCCTTCTCCTAAAGCCATCTTGGGGGAACCAGGGGCTGGGGTGGGTGCAGTGGACCTCCTGGCAGGAGACTCCAGCTGCCAGTCACAGCGGCCTGAGTAGTGGCCTGGGTCCTGTCCCCCATGGACTCTACCTGCTGCCTTTCACTTCACCATGTACCTTTTCCTGCCACCACCTCTTGGGCCTCATTGTCCCTTGGTGGTCTCTGCTCTGAGCTGTGGGCAGAGGCCACTCTGTCTTAGTCTCTCGTCCTCTGGGTCTGCCTGCTTGGGTGGCCGCCTGACCACCGTGCCCCTCTTGCAGTGTGCGCCACGCCGCTGGGCATGGAGACCAGTGCCATCGCTGACTGGCAGATCTCTGCCTCGTCCGTGCACCTGGGCTTCATGGCTTTGCAGCGCTGGGGCCCGGAGCTGGCCCGCCTGCACCGCACGGGCATTGTCAATGCCTGGACAGCCAGCAACTACGATAAGAACCCCTGGATCCAGGTGTGGAAAAGACAGCCCTGGGGGGGGTGCACAGTGGGAGGGGAGAAAGTGGGATGAGTGTGCCTGCATTTGGGGGTCACCATGGGAGGGTTGGTTCATAATGGGGACCCAGGTAGCATGGTAACAGGTACCCTCAAAGGAAGTGTCTGTAAGAGGAGGGCAGCCTTGGGGGGCCTGGAGTGGGCGGGCAGGATGAGGGGGAGCAGGCCCCAGGCTGTGGAGGGGCTGTTTGCACTGGGCGAGGCTTCTGAGGGCCTTGTCTGTCCTTGTGTGTTTCCCCGAGCACTGAGTCTCCAGCCCTGCGGGGGGCGGGATGAGAAAGCCCCCGCTGCTTCTGCTTGCCTTAGTCCCTCTGGGTGCGGGGAGGAGAGGGGGTCGTAGGAGCCCGGGATTTTAAGTGCACTGTCCTCCCCACCCTGCACCCAGGTGAACCTGATGCGGAAGATGCGGGTGACGGGGGTCGTGACGCAGGGCGCCAGCCGCGCAGGCACTGCCGAGTATGTGAAGACTTTCAAGGTGGCTTACAGCCTCAATGGGAAACAGTTCCGGTTCATCCAGACAGAAGGGGACTCAGGAGACAAGGTGAGGCTGGATGGGCCCTAAGGAAGGCTGTGTGGTCAGCATCCCAGGGCTCCAGCGTTATTTGAGGGTACCCTGGGAGACTGGCCATGAGGGGGGTGGGGTCTTCAGGTGCATCTTGGTCCCCAGAAACGGGGGAACCTAGATTGTTCCCGTGTTTTGTGGTTACAAGTAATAGCCCCACTTTATAGATGAGAGACTGAGGCTCAAAGGCTCAGCGAGCTGTTGCGGGTGGTTGTAGTGGTGGAGCTGGGAGGCCGTCTGAGCCTTCAGGGCCACGTGTACAGCCGTGCAGGTTGTACACTGCTCAAGGATGTCGTTGGGAGGTGAGCTCCATTCACAACGTAGACATGTGCTTGTGTACTTCTGTCTGTGGGGAAATTATTAGAATAAAGTATCTCGAGAAAGGAGTGCCTTTTCCTAATTTGCGCAGAGGTACCCAGCAGATTTATAGGTGGCCCTGTGTAAAAGACGGGGGATTATGCCCAGGCACCGTGATGACCAGGAAGGTGTGACAGGGGGAATCTGGGTTGTTGAGGCCTGTGGGGTGGCCATGGCAAAGGCCGAGTCCCTGATGGCTCTACTTAGCCCTCCTCTCATCCCACAGGCCTGAAGAGGAAAGTGTGGCAACCCCGGGGCGGGGGCGGGGGGGCTGCCCCCATTAACCATTCCTCCAACCTGCCTCTTCCTCCTAGATATTTACAGGTAATAAGGACAATAACGGAGAGAAGACCAACATGTTTGACTTCCCCCTGGAAGCGCAGTATGTGAGGCTGGTGCCTGTCACCTGCCACCGGGGCTGCACCCTGCGCTTTGAGCTCCTTGGCTGTGAGCTGAATGGTGAGTGCTAGGGGCTGTGGTCCATGCTAGGGGTTAGCCTCGCTTCTCAGCCCCGCTGAGCTGGGTAGGGCGGCAGCAAGGCCCAGGGACCTGGGCTCACACAGCAGAGGTACACTAGAGGGATCCTCTGGCCATGAGCAGTCCTGCCCAGGTATTCTCTTTTCGCCAACCCGTGGCATTCTGGTGAGCAGAGAACAAAAGAGACAGCACTTCCGCTTTCGAAACATTTCCCCTTATTCTGATTGGTTCCTTGAGCTTCTAGAGCCTGAAGGGTTAGTTCTGTCCTGCAGAGAGCAGGGAGTTTGTCTGGTTTGTTCCCTGCTGCATTCCCAGAGCCTAGAACAGCGCCTGGGTGATGAATGAGTGAGTGAATGAATGAGGAAAGTGAAGACAAATCATTTATCAAGGGCACACAACTGGTAGGTATTAAAACTTGGTCTAGATCCCTGGACTTCTGACACCCACCCATCTAGTATTTTACTGCCCCCGGCTCCTCAACCTCCTGTTGTCTGCATTCAAGAGAAACACAGGGCTCCTAGGGTCATAGGGCTGGAGCTGGTGCTTCCTCCTGCCATTTCCAGAGACAGTCCCGGATAGAGGAATGGGGATCAGAAAGGGACAGGTTTCCTCTGAGCCAGGAAAAACTCACCGTTGGGGGAGCTCAGCATGCAGGGGTTGGACTGACCAAAAACTTGTTTCAACCCAGCTCAGTTTTCTCTCTCAGATCTCGGGAGTAGTTCCCTCTTTTGTAACCACAGTGCCACCTGCTGGCCATTGGCGGAACTGTAGGTCTCATAAGGCAGATTGCAGAGCAGAGGGAGGTAGTAGCTCTCCCTGTGTCATCTACCCAAGACCCACCCTTTGCTCCCCCTTTATCTCATTTCCGATACCACCCAGTCTCATTCAGAGCTGAATTCTGTGTGCCTGGCTGCGTTTAGTCTTTTCTTTTTTTAAGTAAGTCTGTTCCCCAGGGCCACTGCCTTTTGAGTCTAATCGTTTAAGTGGGGAGTTAAATTGCCTTCTGGGTGAAAAACATAAGTAAAAAAACAACAACATATACACACACCAACTCTGACACAGACAAACAACAGTAGGGTGACTGCCAGAGTGAAAATGGTGACAGAAGGAGACAAGACTTTTGATGGTGAACACAGTACAATATACAGATGATGTGTTACAGAGGTCAACGCTGGAAACCTATATAATTTTATTAATCAAAGTCACCCCAATAAATTCAATCAAAAAATACTTTGCCTTCTGCTAAAAGGAAAATTTGGTGATTGGTAAAGGACAGAAGCAGGTCTGGGGGTCCCCATTCCTTGGAGTCCCTCCCTGCTTCCTGTCCTAGGGTGAAGCCTTTAGCAATTACAGTTGTCTGCATGGTCCTGTCCCAGCCGGCTCCCGCTGAGGCCAAGCAAGGGTGAGGCTGGCAAGCCAGGAAGTGGAGCTGCCCTGTCTGCACCATCTCCTTGTCCTCGTAGACATTCCAGTCGGCTGGCTTTCTAGGTCCAGTGCCCTCACCCATCCAGTTCCCCAAAGGGACTGAACAGCTGTGGAGGGCGGATTCAGCCAGATGTGAGACACACCCCTCACTCCCATGGGAGTCTTCAGCTGTTCTGGCCACCTGAAGGTACATGTGAATAGTACACACCAGCCTGGCACATTCCTGCGTGTTTGGAGCAGGACTGAATGAAACCAAGGGCTGCTTCTGGGGCAAGCCCGCACAGGCCCGTCTGACAGCATGCCAGCTGTTGACTGTGGACTCTGCACCGGTGGAGGAGCTGCTGGGCAAGGATATAGGATGGTCCCTAAGCCCCAGAAAATCTGACTTCTCTGACTTCCACTTGCTGGAAGTGCTGTTCATCAGTGGGGCACCACTAGGCAGGCCTCCCTGGCTCTGGGTGGGTGTGTGGGTGGTAGAGATGATGTCACAGTGTGGTGTGGTGATCGGGAGTTTGTGTGCGTGATTTGGTACAGTGCTTGTCTCTAGGCCTCAGTTTTCTCCTCCGTAAAGTGGGGTTGTTAATAGCTTCAGGTTTCTGTGGGGTAGATCAACGACTAAAGTAAGCACTGCATCAATTAGATTGTTAGTCATGTTCTGGATGATGATCTCAGACTCAGCAGTCCTGTAGAAGTGGTATAGGAAGTGCTGTGAGTTCATAGGAGGGATAAGTCCTGCCCAAGAGAGGTAGTCAGGGCAGGCTTCTTGGAGGAGGTTGCTCATAGGCCTTGAAGATCAGGGCCTGGCATGGTGCAGAGGAGGAAGAGTGGTGGGCGATCTGTGATGGGCAAGTTGGGTGGGGGTGGGAGCTGAGAGCAGCTGGCTGAGGGGAGGCGTGGCTGGGGCAGGCAGTGAGACAGGATGGTTGGCTCTAAAAGGCAAGAGCGTCCGTCTGTTGTCCAAGAGGATGCCAGGGGCTGGTGAGATCCACACGGTTTTTCCCTCCGCATTACTTTGTGCTCATGCCCCTGGGAGGCTGTGGATCCCAAATCTGAGTGACAGTCCCTCTCGTTAGCAGGATGCGCTGAACCCCTGGGCCTGAAGGACAACACCATCCTCGACAAGCAGATCACGGCCTCCAGCATCTACAAGACCTGGGGCCTGAGTTCGTTCAGCTGGTACCCCTTCTACGCGCGGCTGGACCAGCAGGGCAAATTCAATGCCTGGACTGCGGAGAAGAACTCTGCCTCTGAGTGGCTGCAGGTGGGCCAGCCCCTGGGGTGGGCTGGGCGGGGGGGGGGCAGGGGCGGGGGGGGGGGCAGGGCTCCCAGGTCTTTGACTTCCTCACAGCCTAGGCTTCTGCTCCCTAAGAGGGAATTTCTGAAAAGCCTTGTTTTTTAATGCTCCTTCCTGCTGCTACATGTCGTACCTTCCTCTTGATTCTGTAAGTCCCGGGGGGAGAGTGAGGGGTGTATTGCTGTTTCCACTGAGGCCCCCAGCCCAGGTGGAGAAAGGGGTGTATGTGTGTCTGTGTATCTGTGTGTCTGTGTATGCCTGTGTGTGTGTCTGTGTCTCTGTATATCTGTGTGTGTGTATATATATATATATACCTGTCTGTGTCTATGTGTGTCTGTATATCTGTGTGTATGTATATCTGTGTGTGTATACTCGTATGTGTCTATGTGTCTATGTGTGTATGTATATCTGTGTGTGTGTATATATATATATACCTGTCTGTGTCTATGTGTGTCTGTACATCTGTGTGTATGTGTATACCCATCTGTGTGTCTGTGTCTATGTGTGTCTGTATATCTGTGTGTATGTGTATACCTGTCTTGTGTCTTTGTGTGTCTGTGTATCTGTGTATACCTGTCTGTGTGTCTGTGTCTGTGTGTCTATATATCTGTGTGTGTGTCTGTCTGTGTCTCTTGTCTATGTGTGTCTATATCTGTGTGTGTGTGTCAGTAGGGGGAGAGCCACCTCCACTGGCTGCCACAGGGGAACAAGGCTGAGCCCACGGACAGCAGAGCAGGGTGAGGAGGGACACCTGAGACAGGCACCTTGGGGTTTCTCAGCCCGAGCACAGAGCCATGCTCTCTGGCTCGGTGTCTGAGAACACGTCATGGGACAGCCCTCGGATTTCATTGACATTGGGGAACACGAGAATCACGGAATGCCAGAGCATCCGCTCATATTACAGATGAGCAAACTGAGTCCTGGCCGGGTGAGGATTTGGCTGGGGCTCATCTGCCGGTTGGCAGTGAGTTGAGTTTGCACCCTGGGCCTCGGGACGGCCTGTGCAGGGGCAGGTAGCTGGCTCCCCAGGATGGTTGGGGACTGGAAGCAGAAGGTCTGTCTCTGGGCGCCAGAGAACACATTAGCCTGTGGAGCTGGGTTCCATGAGGAGCTGCCTGCCTGCCTCTGGACTGCTCAGGACCAAGGTCAGGCAGTGGACAGCCCCACAGGGAACCTCGGGAGCAGTTCATGCCTGGGGGTTGGCCAGGGCCCAGGTTCTGAAATCTGAGCTCCATTGCAGTGAATTTCCTCACCGTGTCTGACATACGAGGTGGTATTTACGCCCATTTTATAGATGAGGAAACTGAGGCTCTGCCAAGTGAAGTAGCTTTCACCAAACTACAATTAATGTCCTGGGGTGTCTGCCTGTTTCCACTTTACTGGAAAGGGTCCAAGCAAAGAAAATACAGTTGATATTTTTCCCCCCCGTAGATCGACTTGGGCTCCCAGAAACAAGTGAGTGGCATCATCACACAGGGGGCCCGTGACTTTGGCCACATCCAGTATGTGGCAGCCTACAAGGTGGCCCACAGTGATGATGGCAGGAACTGGACTGAGTACAGGGAACAGGGAGCCGCAGACAGTAAGGTGAGTTCCTGTGAGCTGCCCCGCCCCTCACCACTCTGGGGTACCCTTCGAGTTAAGCCTAGGGCTCTTTGAGATGGGGGGCTGGTCGGGGGTCCTTCCTGATCCCCTCTCTGCTTCCAGGTCTTCCTAGGCAACTTTGACAATAATTCCCACAAGAAGAACATATTTGAGACGCCCTTCATGGCTCGCTTTGTGCGCATCCTGCCCGTAGCCTGGCACAACCGAATCACCCTGCGTGTGGAGCTGCTGGGATGCTCGTAGGCCCAGCTAAAGTGACCGGGACAGCTGCGGGGCACCTGCCCCTTCCCCAGTCCTCCTGACCTTCTGTGGTCCTGCTGCCTCCTCTACCCACCCCCCTCCTGATTGTAGTGCTGTGGAGGGGCGGGGTCAGCCACCTTTCTCTCCCTTTGTCCTCACACTTCACCTCCCACCTGCCCCCCCTCCCTCCCACCTGCCCCTGAGCTCAGCTATCATGCCATCCCATTTCTTAGGCACTATGGGAGTTGAGTAGGTCTGGGATGGACAGGGAAGAGCGAAGTCAGGGGTGCGGGTTACCTGCACCTCTCCAGATCCCCGATTCCGGTCCTCCATAGCCCGCCTCCCCTACCCCATGCTCCCATAGCCTTGAAGGACGGCCCTGAGGCGACACGCTGGAGATAAGTCTCCTTGCCCTCAACCCTGAGGCATGACGCTGCCGTTCCTGATGCCACCACCGAGCTCTCTGACATTCCCTACTTATCTCCCTGGAGACCCCTCTTGACCCTTGTGCTGCAGCCCAGAAAGACAGAAGGGGGTGGGGTGGGTCTGTGGAGAGACTGAAGATGGGTGGGCATGGGGGGGCTTGAGGGCACAGGCAGCTTCCAAAATATATTTATGTCACTGCCTGGAGCTCTTGCGTTGTGGTTCATTGTCACTGTGTTGAAGTGGATTTTGTCTTGTGCTGGTCCCCCCTCCATCCCCAGCCTCCCAGAGCCCAGCATTCTCACTGCCTGCCTGCCTGCGGATTGCTTAACACTTGGAGGAAGGAGGAGGCTGCTGGGAGGTCCCACCAGGGACCAGGACTCTGCCAAGCGGGCGCAGGGCCTGCTGGCTGAGCACACTGGTTTCTGGGAGGCCACTGGCGTATCCATGCCCTGGGCAGGGGCCATCAGGAAGTGGCTAGTGGGGGAGCAGGCAGGCCAGTGCCCTGGTGAAAGGGGCTGGCCATAGAGTAGGGACTGACTGACTAGCTGGAAAGGGGCAAATGAAACCACCCTAGTGTTCAAGGCCTTGGAACACGGGAAGAATTTTCCGGAACAAACTTTGGGAGCCGTGCAGACTGGCAATTTCATGATGGCCAAACTCAAGGAGGGAAAGGCAGGCTTATAGAACTCTCTCCCGAAGGTGGGGGGCAGCCATAGCTGGAGAGAGTTTCCCCCTGCTTAGTCCCACTGCTTAGGGTAAGGGGGGGTCCTAACGGGACACCCCTCTGCAAGCACTCCTCCATTCCCCACTCACCTCCCCAGATGTGACAGCCGCAGCTCCTGGGCACTCCCGAGGTGCTGGAGTGGTCCCCAGCCCAGTCTGGAGCGAGCCCGACTCCGCGCGCCGCCTCCCTTTGGGCCGGGCCCTTGGAGGGAAGGGGCGTGTATCCCTTTAAGGGGCAGGCCCGGCGGGAGCGCGGGGGTTTGTACGCAGCCGCTTCCTTTTGGCCATCGAGGTCCCCCAATCCGCCTGTTTCTTCTCGGACCTGTGTAGCCCGCACCCTCGAGCGCGCTCGAGCCGTCCGAAAGCCGCGGGGGGCTGCGTGCCTCCCTCCCGGCTTCGAGTCCCCCGTGGACCCCACGCCTGCTGGGACAGGGTCCGGGCCGGAGCCGGGCTGTGGACTCCGGCGGGGGTGCTCCGGGCGTCAGTGAGGTGAGGGTCGCGCGGGGTCCCCGCATGCCGGACGCGCGCCCCGGGGAGGCAGCGACAGAGCGCACCCCGGGGCCTCCGGGACCACCGCCGGGTCCAGCCCCCGCCCCACTGGGGGCCCCCCGACTCCTTCCCATCCCGTCCTGTGTGGGTGCTCCGGGCGTCTGAGGTCAGAGCCGCGCGGGACCCCCGCGTGCTGATCGCGCACCCCGGGGGAGGCAGTGACAGCGCACCCCGGAGCCTCCGGGACCACCGCCGGGTCCAGCCCCCGCCCCACCGGGGCCCCCCGACTCCTTCCCATCCCGTCCTGTGTCCTGCAGCCGCCAGCACAGCGCACCACGTGCCCACCCTGCCCCGGGGCGTCTGCCGGACGCTCAGCCCAGGGCCTTGGGAACCCGGGGGTGCGGCTGGAGACCCCCCACGGCGGGCGGACCTGCAGTCCCAGGGCAAACGCAGAGGATGCCCTTCGGTTTCAGGCCTCAGTTTACTGGGGTTTCTGCTCTGGGCACAGCGAGACCCTGAAAGGGCAGGGAGGGCGAAGGGTGGAGCCCTGGGTGGGACATGGGTCGCTCAGGGGGGAATTCGGGGCTTGTGAGCGGCCAGGAAGGAGACAGCAGGGGCACTGGACTCCCTCGGCTCTGTCACCAGCCTGTGGCCCAGGCTGGACGGCAGTGCCCAGCGCTGACCCTCGGGAGTGCCTCTGCTCCCTGCCGCAGGGGGAGGTGAGGCACCCTGGCCCCTCTCCCGGGCCCTGCGCGGGCCAGCGGGCCGGGACGGCTGGTAGGAATCACCTCCGGCTTCCGCTCGCCCTGGGGCCGCAGGTTTCAAAGGCGCTCGTAGGCCTTGTCTAAACTGGGGGCACCGAAGTCCAATTCCTGCAGGTGGCGGGTGGAGACCCATAGGGCAATGGTGCCCTCTGCTGGTGCTTGGGGACCTCGTACTTTGGTGAGGCTCCATCTCCCTTCCAAGTAGGTGTTCGGTTTATTCTGGTGTGTGGAGGGGTCCCCCCGGCAAATAGTCCTGGGAAAAGCAAAGTCTGGGCCATCAGGAGACCCGAATTTCCTCTAACCTCTACCTGTTTAGCAAAGGTACATCCTTGGCCTCAGTTTCCCCAACTGTAAAGAGAAGACAGTGGGGTTGCTTTTCCAGGCAGTGAGAGAGGAGAAAACCACTGAGATCACGTGAGACTTCACTTTGCAAACCGTTCACAGACATAATAACTAATATCTTTTAGTGCTTACCCCCTACCAGGCAGTATTCTAGTGTCCTGTAGACCTTCCTTCCCTTAATCTGCAAAAAAATATCTTCTGGTCAGTATTGTCGTGACTCTCATTTTACAGATGACGAAAGCGAGGCTCAGTGACTTGTCCAATGACAGACTTAGTAAGTGGGTGGAGCCAGAACTGAATCCAGGTGGCCAAGCAACCTAGTTATTTCTGAACCTCAGTTTTCTCGTCTGTACAATGGGAATAATCATGCTCACAATGCGAGGTTCACAGGCAGTGACGTCCATGAACATGCATTGATAAGCAGAAAGCAGTCCTTAAATATGACAGATCGTTGTGGGAGTTGGCTACAAAATGCTCAACAGAGTCCTGCCTCTACCGCCTCCTGGCTGTGTGGTCTTTGCAGGGTTGCTTCATGCCTCTGTGCCCCTGTTCACCTGTGGATTAAATGCGGAGAATAAATTTCTCCTTGCTGACCTGGGTGGGTGCTCTTGGGAGGCTTGAGGGAGCTGCTGGAGGACACCAGAAGGGGCTACAGTCCATTGTGCCTCAGTGCATGTTTCTGAACCGTGAATACTTAATTCATGATTGGTCAGAGCCATGGGGAACAATGTCAACATTACATGGAATCACAGTGGTCCAGTGGCCATTTCCCCCAGCAGCCTATGTAATGGCGTGACTGTAACAAGACTTCTCACAATTAAAGATCAAGCCATAGCAATGTATGGCTTCCTTAAGATAAATGCTGACACAGAAGTCCTGGAGAAAGTTCTTTCTTTAGTATAACAACAGATGTCCTTTACTATCCAGACACGTGCTATCCACTGTCCAAAACTCAGGAACCAAATAGATCGGCCGATGCAGCATCTCTTCCTCCCGAGTTCTCCCAATTCTCAATATCCAGACGCTCAACATCCTGACTCAAGGGTGCAATACATTTGGTGAGGGCAGGACGCCTGCGTGGCTGGTTTTGCTGCTTCACAGAACTTAACAACATACCGTTTTCCGATAAAACTTGGAGTCCGATGAAGTTGCAAAGATTTCCCCTGTGTTTAAAAAAAATAATCGAAGAAGATAGCTTCACCCTACTAGGGTCAGATTTTTAATTTTGGTAAATCCGGATTCTGTTGGACTCCAATGCCCCCAAGACCTATACACTCCAAAGGAAGAAGCTCCGGCCCAATTGCAAAGGCTGCAGAGGGCTGATTGACGGGCCTAGGGTGCCAACCTCAATGCTGTTACTGGTGCTTTTTTTTCCATTAGGATTATTCTTGTTTTTAGCACTCTGATTACCAAGTTGCATGTTTTTTTTAAAAAAAATTTTTTTTCTTTATTGATTTTAGAGAGAGAGGAAGGGAGAGGAAGAGAGAGATAGAAGCATCGATGAGAGAGAACATTGATTGGCTGCCTCTTGCATATCCCGAACTGGGCATCGGGCCCACAACCTGGGCATGTGCCCTGACTGGGAATCAAACCGGTGACCTCTTGGTGCATTTAATGCTCAACCACTGAGCCACACCATCTGGCCCAGGTTGCATGTTTTGAGTAGTCTGCCCCAACCTTATCCCTCCAAAAAAACTTGTTATTTTTTATTTATTTGTTTATCCTCACCCGAGGACATTTTTGCATTTATCTCCAGATAGAGCGGGAGGGAGAGAGGAAGGAAGAGAGAGAGAGAAAGAGAGAAACGTCGACGTGAGAGAGACACATCGAGTGGTTGCCACCCACACGACCCCAACCAGGGCCAGGGACAAATTGCAACCGAGTACGTGCCCTTAGTGGGAACCGAACCCGGGCCTCTCTGGTCCACGGGCCGATGCTCCAACCACTGAGCCAAACCGGCCAGGGCCACCCTTGTTATTTTTAAATGTGTGATTTTGCAAAAATATACGTCTTTTCCCCAGGTGTACAAAGATCCCTGTGTGGGAGCTCTGCCGTCAGTCTGGTTCTCACCTTTGAGACTAGACCAGGTGAGCTATTCTGGTGGCCAGCAGGTTGGGGAAAGAGTACCAGGGAAAGGCTATCCCTAGTACTCAAGACCGGCATCTGGTTCACGTTATTTCTGCTCACTGCCCCTGGTCAGCTCCGAGTCCATAGCTTCTAGCTGCAAGGGAGGCGGGAAACACAGCCTTCAGTCAACTGGTCGCACACCTGTCTAGGACTCTGTTACTACAGGAGCAAAGAGACCACATTGGTGAAAAATATCCTGGGTTAGTGATGATCTCTATTTCGCAAACGAGTAAATCTGCCCAGAATCACACAGTAAGACCTGGGCTCCAAGAATAGTGCGCGGCATGCTCTACAATGACCTGTTGAGTGAGTGAGTGAGTGGGTGCTGGAACCTAGGGGTCCTGGTCCCCTGCAGAGGGGCTTCTTTAATTGGTGTGTTTTTCTCTTCTTTCCTGTTTGCTGGACCACAGCCTTGCCCAGGACACACTGGTGCTGCCACTGTGCACGACACCATGGACCTGCTGCTCTTGGTCTTGCTGTTCCTGCTGCCCTGGGTCTCTGGCCTGCCCTTCTACAATGGCTTCTACTACTCCAACAGTCCCCGTGGCCGGGACCCGGGCCAGGATGAAGGTGGGTGGCCTCCTGGGTCCAGCTCTTTGCTCCTAAGGGTGAGCAAGACCTCCACTGGCTCCTGCTGTGACATGCAGGTTCAAGGCTGGGACAGAGGACTGGGCAGGGAGCCAGCAGCCTT